CTAGGGAAACCACCTGACTGTGGAAATAACAGTGTTGGGCGGCTGACCCTTATTAACGCCTGGCTGGCCCTGGGCCACCTGCTTTGTCATGGAGTGGATATGTTTGGTTCAGAGAAGTGAGTGACTTGCCCAGAGCCACATAGCTGATAAAGAGAGTGTGGAAGTGGAGTCAGGTCTGCCTGGGTTCGAATCCCAGCCTCTCAGCTTCTTCAGTTGTCCTCCCCCAACGTGAGGTGTGAGCCGGAGATTGACACCGAGTAAGGGCGGCATTCCCGACGAGGCGCGCCATGCTTGCAGTGGGGGGTGTGGGCTCCAAGGGAGCCAGAGGTGGCTTCTGGGGGAAAGGGGACCTTTGGGGACTTGACTCGGGTAGGGCATGGCTTTACACTAGGCCAGAATGGAAGGCACCAGCCGCTGCCGGGGCCTGAACCGTTTGCTTGTGGCCTGCAGGACCCCGAGGGGCCTCAGAGGCAGCTGAAGAAGAAACAGAAGAACCGGGCGTCTGCCCAGCGCAGCCGGAGGAAGCACACGGACAAGGCAGATGCCCTGCACCAGGTGGGCTTCTGCCCTTCCCGATCCTGCCCGCGCTTCCTGCCCAGCGGCCTCTCCGCCCTCCCCCACCTGTGAGCAGACCCCGCACGGCTGTGGGTTTAAGCATTGGAGACACAGCTGTGAACTCAGCAGCCAAAAGCTCTCGCCCTCCCCAGGGCTCATATTGGTAGCAGGGAGCCAGGCAGACGAATGAATGGCTCATGAGGTGACTGGGTGTCAGGTGGTGATCGCTACGGGGAAAATTAGAGCAGGGAAGCCAGGGAGGCAGGTGGGTGAAGGAAACCTAACAAGGGACGCCCTCCTTGAGTGGGTGATATGTGAGCAGCTTAAGGTGGCAAATGAATGAATGAATGAGTGAATGAATGAGTGAATGACTCCATTTCTGGAGGTGAATTGAAGCCTTTGGAGAATTTAAGTGAAGGGTGACCTAATGACATTTTTAAAATGTCATTCCACGTGCAGAGACCAGCCTGGACGGGGCTGCTGGTGGCTTTGGCGCCTGTTAGGACTTGGAGTCCATGACCTAAGCAACATTTTTATGTAAAACACTCTTGCAACTTCTTCTTTAAAGAAGTGTCCACAAGAGTCGAGTGAGGGAGGGAACCAAAGGAAGTCATTCAGCCTCCTGAGGCGCAGAAATAGAGTTCCTTCTTTTTTTAAAAAAGTCTTTATTGTTTAAAGTATTACACATGTCTCCTTTTTCTCCCAAGAAATAGAGTTCTTTCTGCTTTTGCCACCTCTGCTCGTAAGTGGTTGTTTAGAAGTACACGTTGACTTTTGTCCCCGTGGGTTCTCAGAATCCAGCAGGACAGAACCTGACCCAAGCTGATCAGGGATGCTGAACAGAACCCTGGCTTCAGTTGGAATGCAGGGCGCTGGGGGGGTCCGGCAGGGCGCTGGGGGGGTCCGGCAG